ACCTTGTTATCTCAGATATTCCAGCATCTGCAGTTCCTACTATCTCTGATACAACTTTTAAATGCAGTGGGTTTTGGGCCTCAAGTTGATGTGTTTAAAACCCTGGTTAATAAAACTTGATCCAGTGGGCTGTGCTGTGTGGTAATGATTTTTCTTTGAGTATGTACAAGATGGGGGAGATATTATTATAATGTGAACTCATGAGCTAGCACCCTGGGCCATTGTGCCTTGTTGGCCATTGCTAGATGAATCACATGATAGATGTATTTTTTGGTAGTTTGTATTTCCAAAATGTACTATGTTATGTACAGTAAGTTTATCTGCAGTTTGTCTTAAAATTCTAGTAACATATTCTACTGTAATTTTATCCAGATTGAGATTAATCCAAACAGTGTTGCTCCTTCCAAGAGTTCATCTGGCCAGACGCTCTTTAATACCCTACCCTGAACGAGAGTCTGCCTCTAGTTTCTGTCCCCCCATGCTCTCATTTGAAGGAGTAGCATTACTTTAAGCCATGTTGATGGCATCCAGTGTTACCTCACCACCACTTCACCTGACTCAATTGTTACTACATTGTCAGACTATTTGACTGAAATGTAGAATTGGATGAGCAGAAATTGCTTCCACTTACACAGTAGAAAGATTGAAGCCATTGTGTTCAGTTTCAACTACAAAATTTGTTCCCTAGCTACTGACTCCATTCCCTTCTCTGACAATCTGACTTCTGCCAATGTGTTCATAGTCTCACGACCACGTTTTCTCCCAAGATGAGTTTCTAACTTTGTATTTCCACCATTACTGAAACTGCCTGTTTCCACCTCTGTAACATTGCTCAAACATGTCCCGTCTCAGCTCTGTCCCTACTGCAGCCCTAATCCTTGCTTTTGTTTATCCTGTAGTCTTGACTTGCTACACACGCTTGGTTGATGTCCCACATTCTACCTTCTAAATCTGAGTTCATCCAAAGCTTTGTTCATGGTTTAACCCTTAAATCCCATTCCTGTATCACCTAAGTGCTTGTTCAACTACATAGGTTCAGAGTGCAGCAATGTCTTCCTTTAAAAATTTGCATCCTTCTATGGCTCTGCCCCTCCCTATTTGTGTAATGCACTCCAGTCTAGCAACTGAAATATCTGCACTTCCCCAATCTTGGCATCTTGTGTATCTCCAATTATAATCGTAGCATTGGCATCCATGCCTTCAGTTTGCCTAGGTCTTGTGTTCTCGAATTGCCTCCCTACATCTCTGCCTCTTGATTTTGCTTTTCTCTTCTAAGGCAGTCCTTAAAACCCATCTCTTTGGCCAAACTTGAGTGTCTGAATTAATATCTCATATTTTAAAATGCTCCTGTGAAACACCTTGAAATGTTTTATCAAGTTAAAGTTGCTGTATAACTAGAAATTTTGTTTTAACCTGGTTCTGAGCTGGACAGTCTGTTTAATACATATAAATGCACTTTGTGCAGTGTTCAAATGCATGGAAATGCTTTGAGACATGGTAGAGTGAAGATAAGAATTGGTTGAGTGTTTGTGGATTGATAAAGGCAGTGAAGTGTCAATAGTTTATGGAGTATTAAACATGAAGTTTTCCTTGAAACATTCTGCTTGGCTGATTTAAGGTTGAATTTATTTATCCCTGTTAGAATTTGTTAACTTGAGGCAGTTTTGTTATAGTTGCATGAAATGTGCAAGGTCTTTGTCACTCAGAGGGGCATTATTCTTCAATAAATGCAGTACTGTTAAGGAGAAGGGAGAAAGCAGGTAACCTTGAATTTTCACTACACTGCCCTGAAATTCCAGTGCTACAATGTTTGCTTCAAACTATGCAATTTCTAAATGTTATCTTGAACAAAATTATGCATGCGTATTTTTTTGGTCAATATTTCTCCTCCACCTATTTGCACTTCATTGACAGGTATTCTTGGGTTGGGTTGAGACTAGTGATTCACTTCATTATTGATAAATGGGGAGGCGATGGCCTAGTGGTATTATCGCTGGACTGTTAATCCAGAGACCCAGATAATGTTCGGGGGCGCAGGTTCAAATCCTGCCACGGCAGCTGGTGGATTTTAAATTCAATAAATATATGGAATTAAGAGTCTAATGATGACAGTGAATCCATTATTGATTGTTGTGAAAAACCTATCTGGTTCACTAATGTCCTTTTAAGGAAGGAAACTGCCATCCTTACCTCGTCTGGTCTACGTGACTCCGAATCCACAGCAATGTTTGACTCTTAACTCTTAATTAGGGATGAGCAATAAATGCCTAGCCAGCGATGCCCAAAAAAATGTAGTTTACCTGGTATTTGGCTATAGAAGCAAAGGGCTACAGTTCTGTTTCGTACTTTCCAGTGACACTGGAAAATTGTTGGTGAGCTCTGTACTGTAGTTTGTTTTACGTTTTGGTTGGATCACTTCAGATGTTAATTTTTAATCTGTGCATTCAGGATTGAAAACTCTAATCATTGAGTCCTCAATATCGAGTCACTAAGATTTCTACCTCACGCTCCTCCTTTATGCAGTACGCTATACAAATGTACTGAATGTCTAAAACTGTAACCCATGCTTTATTGATGTTAACATTGGACCATATGTAGGTGACAACTCATTTGCAATGTCTATTTCAACATGAGTTCTTGAATCCTGGCTCTTGAACATGAACCTTGAACTTACTGGTGAAAGTCTCATGTTTAGATGAATTGTTCTTTTACATCATAACATGTATTAATTCCTTTAGAATCTAAATATTTCTAAATATATTGTTCATGGAGGGATAGGAGTAGGTGACTGATCCACAACCTGACTCGATAGCACTCTAATAAAAGCAATGTTGCAGATGGTGGAGATCTGAAGTCAAAAGGACAAAATGCTAGAGAAACTCAGTACATTTGCCAGCATCTATGGAAAGAGAAACAAAGTTAAAGTTTCAAGTCCAATGTGCAGAGTTTCTTCAGCATTTTGTCCTTTTATATGAGATCTCTCCAATTGACCTTTATGCCTTGCACCTTTTTTAAACAAAAATCAGTCAATGATTTAAGATGAACAATTGATCCATCACCTGTTTTGTCATTTTAAAATATTTCTGCAGATGGTAAAGGTGGAACTGGATCAAGATGCTACAGCAGGAAACGAGACCCAGCTTTTCCCAAAAATGAAAATGTATCTAACCAGACCCGCCGCACCAATCCACAGAAAAGCAAAGCTTTTGACAAGAGACCCCCTGCACGTGGCAGCAACAAATCCTTTAGCACTTCTGGTAATGGTGGTAGACGGGAAGAGGTGAGATTGAGCAGTTTGACGCTGTCATTAATGGATGCGTGTTACAATGCTAAAACCAATTGGTCATTGAAAAGGCCACTTAAAGACAAAAAGGTTATTAACCCTCTGTTTATATTGCCAAAGCTTGCCTGTACATGATATGTGGCTGAGGTCTTAAATACATGGCACAACTTGAATTTGGCTGGTGCCTTGAAAGGTCTGGGATTTCTTTTAGACTGCTTCCTAGTCCTAGATTCCCCAGCTAGTGGAAATGGTTTCTGTCTATCCTCTTGTTTTCAATAAATCTTGAAAAGATCATCAAAGCACCCCTTCAACCTTCTGCACTCCAGGCAGTATAACAGTCCTAGTTGATGTCAGTTGTGGCTCAGTTGACAGCACTCTTGTTTCTGAATCACATAGCTGAGTTCAAGTTCCACTCCTGACCTTACTTAAAAGCCAAGATTCACGATGCAGATCTGAGGGGCATTGCACTATTTGAGATGGCAATTTTCAGATAAAACTAGGTCTTGTCTACTTTCTCAGACTCCGGGCACTATTTTGAAAGTGCCAGTGACTTATCCCTAGTATTCTGGCCCATATCTGTCCCTCAGAATGACAAACAGATCATCTGCCTGTTATCGCATTATTAACCGCAAGCATAAATATTGATTGATACAGATTTTAGTCTGTGATGCTGACACAACCCAAAGCAGAATTTAGTCCTCCTTCATTTAACCATTGGATTCTAGGTATCATCTTGGGAAATCAATGCTGCATTTTCTCCAAGGACAATAAATCCTTAAGATGTGGTGTCTTGCATTGCTCCAGATGTTTTCTAACCAGGGCTTTGCTCAACCATAGTTGGACGTGTTATTGGAAGTTGAATTTCTGTACAAAATAAACTTTCTTCTTTCTACAGGTAGCAGAGGTGCGGAGGGCAGAGTTCAGTCCTGCCCAGTTTACTGGTCCTAAGAAGATAAGCCTAAACCACTTGTTAAACTTTACATTTGAACCTCGTGGTCAGTCAGGCTCACATTATGATGGTAATTGCCATGGAGGCTGGGGAAGAAGAAACAAGTGGGGACATAAACATAAGCCATTCAACAAAGAGCAATTCTTGCAGGCCAAGTAAGTTAAAGAAACAATGAATCCACTGATCTAGATGTGTTTACTTCACCTTAGGTGATGAGAATCATAGTCACACGCAAATTGCAAACTATCTACCTTTTGTTGTGATAGTTGAGTGTATTTGGAAGTTTTATTGCTGTTTTGATGCTCAGGCCAGGAATTTGAAACAATCTCTCTCGATGCTCAAGTGTTTGAATTATTCTAGTACACGTTCAGGATATGTTCCTACAATAAAACTCATCAGACTCTGATAATGGTCTTTAATATCAGCATGATTTA